ATACTACACCCTTTAGAAACTGTCTTCCCTCCTGGACCCCTTCATCCTTCAGTCTCTCTACTCATGAGATCTGATCTAATGTATTATTTCGCTGAATGGGTTATCTAGTCTTTTGAAGTCCAGCATCCTTACTTTGACACTCTCGTACTTTTCCTTTCTTAGAACCATGAATTCTATCTTACTGTGTTCATTTCTTCTCAAATTTCATGTCACCTTCATGTTCGCAACCTGTTTTATCTTATTTGTCAGAACGACATCCAAGACCGATAACCTCCTAGTTGTAGCCTCAGCTTTCTGAAACCTAAAGTTGTTGTCCATGCATGTTAAGAACTTAATGGACATTTCTGCTGTATTAAGTTCCAACAGATACGAGGGAATTTAAATCTCTACAACGGTACTTTCTCATAAGTTTTAAATAGCCTTGTTACCTGCTTCACCTGGATTCATAGATTGTAGAGTCGGAAGGAACCACAGAGGATCATCGTGTCCGACCCCCTGCCCCAGAAGGAAAGAGGACCGAGGTCAGACGACCCCAGCCAGGTGACTATCAAGCCTCCTCTTGAAGACCTCCAAGTTAGGTGATGGCTCCACCTCTCTTGGAAGCCCATTCCAGATCCTGGCCACCCTTACTGTGAAAAATTTCTTCCTAATGTCTAACCTGAATCTACTCTCCAATAGTTTGCACCCATTAGTCCTAGTTACTCCACACTCTGGTAAATAGCACATCTCTGATTCTCTGTTGTCCTCCCTTGATAAACTTGTAGGCAGCTACAAGGTCTCCCCTCAGTCGTCTCTTGTGAAGGCTGAAGAGATCCAGATCCCTCAACCTCCCCTCATAGGGTCTTTCACAGAGACCACTAATCATGTGAGTGGCCCTCCTCTGAACCCTCTCCAGATCCTCTGTGTCCCTCTTGAAGTGCAGCGCCCAGAACTGGACACAGTACTCCAACTGCAGCATTTCCAACGCCGCGTAGAGGGGGAGCATCACCTCCCTTGAATTGTTGGTCATGCATCTGCTAACGCACGCCAAGGTGTGATTGGCCTTGTTGATTGCCGCGTCACACTGCCAGCTCATGTTCATCTTGGAGTCAACTATGACTCCAAGATCCCTCTCAGCCACTTGATTCCTCAGCCAAATCAAGTATATATCGTATCAAGTATCTATCATATGCCTTGAATTTAAGATGCACCCAAATTTTCTGAATCTCAATTTAAGTAAAAAAATAAAACAGCAATTAAAGACATATGTACAAGAATGCAACCTCTTTGGGGCATAAGAAGGTTTTTTTAAGACCTTTTTTTGCCTTTTTCCTTTTTTAAACTCAAATTTAAGACGCAGGACATTGTTAGAGAAACATTTAATTCTAAGCAATGCATGTTATTTTTCAAGGAATACGACACATTTGTGACAGTGCAATACCACCTCATTTTTCTGCAAAATTTATCCTGAAACAATGTATACCCCTTAATGTTAATATTCCAATCATAGGGAAGTTTCTGTAGCAAGAAGTCATTGTTTCTTTACATACTAGGACTTCCAGATTTTTCTGCTTGTTCCTCATACCTCTTGCATTTGCATATATGCATCAAAGATACCTTGCAGTCTGCTTTGCCCATTTTCCTCCTGCATCTTTTTGCTGTACTAACTCATCTTGAGAATTAGGCTTTTTCTCTTGGTCCTCGGCTCTTGACACTGAAGACAAGGTGCCAGTGGGTTTTCATCCCACCCCTATGAGACCTAGTTTAAAGCCCTCTTCAACAGGTTGGCCATATGATGCCTATAGATGCTCTTCCCAATTTTCAGATCAAGCCCATCCTTTGACAGCTTTCCCAGAATGTCAGCTGTTATCAAAGGATCCAAAGCATTCCCACTGATGACTTCCAGAATGCATTTGTCCCTTCCTGGGCCTTTCCCTTTAATGAGGAAAATGGATGAGAACACCCGCTGCGTCTCAAATTCCTTTATCTCCCTACCTCAAACCCTGTGGTTTCCTTTGATGCGTTCAAGGTCATTTCTGGCAGTATCACTGGTCCCCATGAAGACAAGCATGAAAGGGTAAGGTGAGGGATGGCTGGAGGAGGTCCAGCAATCTTTTCTTCAGGTCCTGAATTCAAGCTCCAGGCAAGCAGCACACCTCACCAGACTCCAGGTCTGGGCATCAGATGGGTTCCCTCTCCCCCTCAGGACAGACTGCCCTGTCCTTTGGTGTGGTGAGCACGAAGCCCCTCTCCTTAGCATTATACAATTCCAGCCTTCTGGTTTGTGGGGTATGATTCTGGTCCCTACCACCCATTATTTCTTCTGAGCCAGTTTCACTAGTATTTCCAATTCACAGAGGCTGAAAGCAGTTGCTACCCCTTTCCGTGTCTCCCAAGATCTGGCAATGCTTCTTCCATGGATCACATGATGCCCCTTGTCTTCCTTGTTCTTCATCTTGTTCTGCACCATCCTCTCATGACTCCTGTGCAGAAAGTCTTTATTCTCTCCCACAGTGCCCAGGATAGTTATGCCTCCAGTCCTTACCCTTTTCCCTCAGATATAATCCCCAGTTTGCACTTGGTATAATAAAGTCATCTTTGCCTTCAGGGAGAAACACAAACATGGCCCAATCCATGCAATCCTCTTTGTTTTCTTCCTTTCTTTGATGCCTCTTAGTAAGAGGAAGGAGAAAACTCTCAGTCTTCCCCTGCTTCTTCCTCAGGCAAACTTGCTCATCACCCACCAGACAATGATTTCCATACCTTAGATGAATGGAGGCCTGAAAGTACTTTTCCTCTTCTATCTGAGGCTCTGAAGCAAGTTAACTGCCTAAAGTAATGTTACGCTATCTGTATTGAAAGGTCCTTGGCCTTTCCCCCCAAAATGTAACCCCACAAAAGCCAATGCCAGACGTTGAGAACAACATGGTGTTACAAACTCTCCTAGCACATTCCCTGCCCAGTACCAATGGTCTCTCCCTCTTTGTGGACAGCCAAGATCAGCATAATGAGCAAGTCGAATCTCCTACTGTAAAAATTCATTTACTCTTTATGAGGGCAGACATCAGGCAGCCATGTGCACCACTGAGAGCCCCAGCACAGTTTGGAAATCCCATTTGCTCAAAACCAACTCTTAGAGGTGGGGTTTAGCAATCTTCATCAAGTTGTTTTTGTGGTTTACTCACAATTGAGTCGCACAACACCAGTAACAACCTTGCCAATGCCACTCTGGTAAGACACTGGTTGGTAGCAGTCTGGAACCCACTTTGAGCTAGTGGCAGCAAACCACTCCTGGACTCATATGCTTTCCTTCATAGGTGCATCCTGGCACGCCAGCACCACAGCAAGCTCCTTGCACAGCTCTGCAGAGATTGCCTGCAGAAGTTCTGAAGCCAGTGCTAGTTATCCCAAGTTTAGCCCCACCACCTCTCCGCTCTCATGGTCCTGCTTCAGCACTGCCGGTCAGGGTAGGGAGATTCATTTCTCTTAAAATCCACATCAGCTGTCTCAACTCTTACCATTTCTGCCTGCAGCCAGTGACCTCAGCAAAGCCTGCCAGTTCCTCAAGGTGGCGAAGCTGCTGCCAAAATGCCTTCTACCATGCCTCGTTCTCTCTATCTGTCCCCTGTTGCCAAGATGCGAGTTGCATTAATGCCAGCACAAAGGAACAACCTGTTATCCTGAGAGGGAAAGGCCACAAACAGCAATGCAGAGTGCCAAGCCAGAATCACTGTAGTGTACTGAGCTGGCAGGCTAAGAACACTTCTACAGTGCAGCCTAGGAAGGTCAGACAACTTCTCCCATATCTAGTGCAAAATAATTCAGAGGGCATCACCGCTTAGTGAAGCGCCAAGAGGAAGTCCTAGCACTTCACGCATCATAGTGCAGCACCAAAGCAGACATGGTGACCTGGTGGAGTAACAGCATCCTAGATTAACTGAGGTGCTCAGACATAGGTTAATTGTCTAGTGAAGAGATACATGGTAAAGAAGAGTTATTTGGAAGTTTAACACAGTAGATTCTGCCTTCCAGTCCCAACAACTCCAAAGGCCTTTATCAACTCTACATCCCACCCTGATGCCCTTACTCAGGTGAGACTTGATACCAAAGTCTGAACACAGGATTTTTATGCAGTACTTTAGAAAAAAGCCATTTTTATGGGAAGGGTGGAGGCCTGCTGGCCTAAGAGCAAGAAGTGGGGAGATGTTTCAGCTGGGACAAGGGAAATACCTTTTCCTTACAGGAGGTGCTATGTCATCTCTAGTGTTTAAGTGGCGGGGTGGGGGGAGATCTTGGGTATTTTAGGGTTTACTTGAAAGCCCACCATGAAAAGCAAAATGGTGGAATTCTTTCTGAAAATGTTCTTACTTGATTTGAGGTAAGAACTCGGGGATTTGAACTTGTGCATCTTGGGAGACTAAACATGATAAATCCAGTGGTTAAACCCTGATATCGGGGCATGTGTTCTTAAGATTTTGTCCTTATTGCAGCCTTAATGCCAATTATAACTGAAGCACTGCACTTAGCTCAAATTCTGTCCATATGCAAAACCCTTTGGTCATATCATGGTGCTTCCTAACCTGGGTCAGCTAGTCTGTTAGTGGAGCAGAGGTTGAGTTAGCACAGCAGATAACACAATTACTTCTTGAAGCCCATATTCTTTTCCAGTATTGTCAACTCTTACTTGAAGCTGGTTAACTTGGCAGGAGCTGACTCAAGCATAGGTAAACTTGAGTTAATTTGGCAGAGATACAAGTAGTGTGTAATTCAGAAAGCAAGTACTAAAAACTATTTTTATCCATTGGAAGAAGACCTGTGCTGTTGCAAAGCTTGGTCATCCATGGGCAGAAAGCCCTGACAGCTGAAACTTTTCTTCACATTCATCCTAAATCAAATCTATTACATGAAACACATTTGCCATTTGAAATAAAGCGTTCCCAAAAAACATTACAGTGTTAAAACTTGGGGGAAGTTACTATTTTAAGAAAGATGTATAAATATGTATTTAAAGTGTTACCCACGGCTATTGAGACAGCACTTATGACAGCTCCCAAGTAACCCTGGATGAACTTGGATGTCGGAGAAGGCTTTGGAAAAAAGAAAAAACATAGTTTCAACACAGAGTTTGGGTTATTTAAATAAATATGACATTTCTCAATTAAAACAAAACAGTTAGTTTCATTCTGCTACACCTGCTGCATCACATGTGGCTCCATTAGCTAGCAGGAAGGCAAAAACAAGAGGATTTGCCACCGAATGAAATAAGTTAAAGGGCTTGGAAAAACACCTAACACGAGAAACTTGTTCACTTTTTGTCCTGGGAATGTTATCTGTAAGTGTATTGCTAAATGGAAGAGATGCTAACATGATTACAACAAAGCCATTTGACTGAACTATTAGTCCTCTGTCGGTTATCTTGACTTGAAAACTCTTTTCAACATCAATATTTCATACACAGATCAGACGGCTTCTAATGCAGCTTCATATCTTATGACATTGTGAAAACTGATGCAACACCATATAAAGTTGCATGAGAGGAAGAACCAGGAGCTAGTTCTGAAGCAGTTGACAGGGACCTCTCTAGCACAGTAAACTGAGGAAAGTACTTATCCCCCAAGTCCTACTCAAGGGTCACATGTGCAATTGTGTGGTCTTTTCTTCCCAATAACAATCCAAGTTATGGGATTTTTTTCTTTACTAGAGGCTAAGCTAGGCCTGGTTGGCAAAAATGACTTCTCTACTGGCTCAATCCAATGGCAAAGAGCAGTTGAGACAGGACATTGGTCTGCCCTGCAGAAGAACAAGATCTTTAAAAAAAAAAAACCAATGACTCATCCGCACAAACTGATGACTAGGATACATATTGGAGAAGAGAGGTCTGCCATCTGGAAGAAGCCCAGCCACCCCACTTTTAAACATTCTTCAAAAAAGAGCATTTGTAACTGAGAGTATGGTCAGGGGATACCAACACAGTTTGTCTGAAAACTTTGCCTAGAAAATTTAACGTGTCATTATAAGAGAAAGGGCAATTTATAAATCCCTATGAGCACCTACCCTGAAGTTCCAGATTTATGCTTTTATCATTACAACAGATCAATCCCATTGCAAACTGCACGTGGAGAGACTGCTCACCTTTGTTGCATTTCGGTTTGCATAGTTGACACATGCGTTGTGGCTCTGGTTCAACCACTGAAAAGGAAACAAAAGGAGATGGAGAAATAAAACAACTGTTTACAAAAGGGAAAAATGAATGCACCAGCATCCCTACCACTGCTGCAAAAAACCCAAACGATACACATGCAGACAGGAAATTCTACCTTATCCAATTATACCCCCTACTGGGGCAGGGATATATTTTGTTACCCAAGCCAGAGAATTCAGTTATACACCTGTGATGGTGAAGAGAGGAAAATTAATTGCAGAAATGTGCATTATTCTCCCTCCACACACGCGTGCACACACTCCTCGCTCGCTGACGTGTTTTTAAGGTGTTGTGCCTATTTGGGGTCTGACCTGATGTTCTTTCAAGTCAAGGGGAGTCTTTCAACCAATTACAATCGACAACAGATCAGGCGTTAATTATGGCACAGGTTAAGAGAGAGACTGTCAGATAGTTTAGATGCTGAAGTGAAGCTTTTATTAAAGTTTTGCAAAGTCTCCTACTCACAGGAGCATTCCCGTTACACTTAAAATACCAAAGAAACCCAGTAAGCTTAAGTTCAACTTCCCATTGAAGCAAGGGTAAAATAATGGCTTTGTGCTATTATTTACTGCTGTTCTTGCAGTAAAACCAAGAGGGTCTAAAAGACTCCAGAGTCCCACTGTGCTAAGCACTGTACATACAGGTAGTGAGACATGTCCACAGCTATCTTTTTCTTGAGGGATGGAAACTCATGTCTTCTGGATGGAGCCCTGAACGGAATAAAAAGGCTCATCTCTCATTTCTCTGTGGACCATTGACCAGTGTCCCACTTGCCCCTATTAACTATCTGATGCCCACTCCTGACATTATGCCCTCTATTCCGCAGTTGACACCGTCTTTGGCCTTTCCCTTGTCACAAGCACTAAATCTGCATGCGCAAGAAAACAGACCCACCTAATATTTAAATGCTATGATAAAAAGTAATCTAGCGCTGGAAACATCAAAATCTTCTTTAAAACGCCCTTTCTTTTTATGCATTTAGTATCAATGCTGTGTAGTGACTTTAGACTGTTCTTCCTGCTCTGTTCTGGAAATGGCAGGATAGGACAACAGGTAGCCAGTCCTTTAATCATCCGTTAAACTCAGTGGTTCTCAAACTGTGGGGAGGTTTGTTCAGGGATCACAAAGGGCTCTATTTGGTATTTCAGGCTGGTCTAACTGATATTTTCATCCTCATCTTCATTGCCTGCAACCACAGGAAAGTAGTGCCATGTTCCTGAATTGAAGTGCTTTATCCACAGCAGAAGTTGCGAATGAAAAGAACTTGGGTTCTTTTCACATAGCAGGAATCACAAGTAATAATCTTCAGTTGAAGAGTATGATACCACTGGCTCTTCTCCAGCTAATGGCCAGGACCTAAAAGGAGAGAAAGGCTTGAAAAGCAGTTAAATGAGGGCAGACATTGACAGACAAAGGCCATATTGGGCAAAGCAATACTGGTGATCTGAAAGCACTACTAGCAAACTTTTCACGTCAAGGAACCCGTGGGATACTAGAATTCATCCCGTTTGTTTAAAAATATGTAAATATATAGGATACTTTTTGCCACTAGAAACTGGGACTCTGCTCTGGTGTCCACAAGTATCTTTGCCGGTCTCTACTTATTGGACACTGTAGGAGAGGTCCAGAGAGCAGAGGCAGTGGGAGCTCTGTAAGAAACCCTCCAAACAGTGGGAACTGAGTTTCAAGAACCCAAGGCAAAGCCCTGGAGCAGTCACAGTGCAAAAGCTCTATGACATCTACCAATCAGCTCAAATACACAAAACAGGTCCAAGTTTTGCCTCATCCTCTTCCTACCTTAAGCAGTCTTTAGAATGGGGATAGCTCTGCACTCCACTCCCTGGCTCCGCTGTCTCTGGAGAAGGCTGACTAATGCCCTTCTGGGCTCTTCAGGGGGCACCTGGATGGCTGCTCCATTTGCAGTTGCCAGAGGGTCAGGCAGTCAGGCCCAGGCCCTACTTCTGGGGAAGAGCTACTGGGGGGAGGGTGTCACAACCCAAGGGTGTGATTTTGTGTGTGCGTGCTTCGGCACTGCTAAATTATTTCCCGCCACGAGGAGCTTTCTTTGCAGGGTGCATTTCTTAGCTGCAAAGAGAAATGCACGGTGCAAAGGAGTTCCCGCCATTCGCATGCAAATTTATGTCCCACTATTGGCCAGTTCTAAATTATTCCCATGTGGCGGCTAGCGATTGGCTTGCTAGCCGTATAAGAGGCTTGAGCGGTTTCCGCCCAAGTTGGAGAACTCCGAGGAGAACCCCGCAAGGGAGGGCTCCACAACCATCTGGAGGAGGGCTTCACGTCTTGTGAAGATCTCCAAGCGCTGCGGAGCCTAACGGACCCAGCGCGTACCTTAAGAAGGCTACAGGGGTCTGATCAACCTCTGGCCTCTCCCCGTCGCCGAACGATCCCTCGACGAACCCCTTCCCTGCGCGCAAGTTCCACGGAGCCTAGCAAACTTCGTGTGAGTGTATCCAGAGCTCTCTGCTTCGAGTTGTTTTCTTCGGTTGACGCGACGGGCTCGCGTGTTTAGAGCCTTCAACCGGATTGGGCTAGAGGTTCGCGTGGAAGGAACTCTTGTCC